ATCCATCTTTTAGTCAGCAGAGATTGCTGGGTTTTAGAAACATGGCCTGGACACAGCACCAGAGCCCCCCGCCCTTCCTCTTCCCCATCCCCTGTCCAGCCACACCGCCGTGCCCAGAGAACGGGCGCTGCTGCTGCTCTGGGGCAGGACAGGGTGATGCAGGAATCCCTCACGGCCGCCCTCCTGCCTTGCTGCGATTCTTCCAGCCTTCGTCTCGCTCCCTTTGTTTTAGGGCAGTTAATTTTCCTATGGAATAACTGTAACTGCCTCCGTGTCAACAAAACCCGAACCTGTCCTGTGCATGCACGCAGCCCTGGGCTCTGCCTCGGGGCATCTCGCCACAGAGCGGAGCCCTCGACCACCCCGCAGCCCCCTGCACTGCAGCTCAGTGATCTGCAGTGCTACAAGGCTGCCGGGGGACAGAAACGCCACAAAAGCCCAAAAACAGTGAAGAAGAAAAATAAATCCCACATATTTTTTATGCTGTAAGTGAATGTTTTACCATCTAAACACTCTCTTTATTAATCAGCAGTAATTTGCCTATGTTGGTATTTTAGCACTCTCCCTCAGCTTGTAGCACTGGTTTTCCCTTACCTGGTGGCAGAGAGCCCCCGGGGTGACACAGGTGGTGTCCCCGCGGGCCAGCAGCTCACCAGGCTGCCGGGGCCGAGCTCCCTTGGCGGGGCTAGGAGAGCCCTCCCTGCTCCCAGCAAAACCAGACAGCACACTCACTACAAATTAATATTCCACCCCCCCCCATCAGTCTTTGCTAAAAGCATTAATTAAGACTTTAACATTTTTGATCCCATCAATTTTCTGTTCTCTTCTTATTAAATAGATGTACTAGGGGAGTTTGAATAATAACTGCCTGAAGTTTGGGGATAATGAATAAATGAACTTTGCCAGCCTCTGGCTAAGCATGAAATTTACTGTGTAGTAACAAATGCAACAGAGGCAGCTCATACATTAACCAACCTAGTTTTGACACGCAAGTTTGGGAGCACATTATTTACTTACTTACTAATTCTAAGTGAGACAGGGCTCCAAAATGGTTTATGCAGGAAATGAAAAATGACATGTTCAGACAGTCTTCTGCATTCTCCATCACAGCGTGAATCTGCTCGCTCGCCTGTTGTCCCTTCGGTGGGTCTCTGGCCCTCTTGCCACACACAGCGATGATTTCAGGACTGCATGCTTTATTTTCCTTGAGAGTTTTGCCAGAAGAGGAGCATACCAGGAACTAGGTAATTTTGCTTTTTACTTGCTAGGTCTTGGTACTCTGAAGGTCGCCTGTGTGCTATGAAACTACTTTTGTTCCATGTATTTTTACATGTGCATGGCTCTAGCATCAGCTCTCTTACACTGTTGTAAATCCATTCATTTTTGTAGAAATCCATTAACTCGCAGTGAATTTACAGCAGTATAACTATGAGCAAACTATGGCTGATGGCGCAGACTGGAAATATTACAAGGAAAAGTGCAAAGTTCTATTGATTTTCTCTCAGGAAAAATGTGTGTTTCCTTGTGATTATATTATAGATGACTCAGCTCTGGCCCCTAACAGCCATCACTCATGCTTCCCAGCTCGGCTGCTTGCTGGCTTTGCAAGGAGAAGCCGCTGACTGTGCTGTGCCCCAGTGCAGGGACAAAGGGCTGTCCCCCGGCTGCCCGAGGACGCACCTACTCCACCGCTGGTGCTGGAGGACTTTCTGCCCGGCTCTGCATGACACTGCAGGAGACAGGCCGCCTGTCCGTGGCTCTGCAGTCCAAGCACTTATTCCTAATCAATTCTGACAGCAGACACCACGAGTAATGCTGAGATTTATGAAAGAGCAAGATTTGCCACTAGCCTCTGCTCATTACGAGTACAGCAAAACCTCACTTTGCCCTTTGTACGCACCATCAGCAGAAGCGAGGCAGTTGCCCTTTTCAGAAGAAAGAGCACTTTCAAAGGACAGGTGTTTTGGCAAAAGCCCACAACACACGAGCAATAAGGCTCCAAATTCCTTACATTTTTCCACCAAAATATTTCTCATTCCTTTAAGTGCTTTTTAAAGACTAAATACGGTACCGAAAAGTGCAGCCTCCTCTTTAGCCAGTTATTTCCCCTGCACTATGCAAATACCAGGCCAAACGTTTTGTTTTGCAAACAAGCTGGCCCGAATGTGGAAACCAAGGCCCCAAAACCTGGTGGACTCACTCTGCATGGTTTTGAAGGCAGAAATATAGCAAAGGTAAAGGTAAAGCCAGGTTATCGTGGCAATCTGCTCCCTTGTTGAAGTTATCCTGTGTGCGGGGAATGAGTTATCTCTGCATGTGTGCAGGTCTTCACTGGAAAGAAAAGATGCCTATTGCTTTTGTTAGAAGAGATTTATCATCAAATCCTCAGGTTATTGTTTAGTAGTTCTGAGGTTTTATAGTGAATTGGAATATAAGCATTGCTATTCCTACTGCGGCACACTTAATTCTGATCTCAGAAAGGATAAAAAAAGTTATTTTTAGTTGCAGATTTAATATTTTTTTACCTTTAATGTGATTAAAAGACCTTGATAATTCTACTCCTGCCACTGCACATGAAACTTCCAGTTGCTGCCACGTTCCTGCGCAGGAAACAGGCTGCAATACAAAGGGAAGGACGAATGCAGGATGATGTATTTCTTCCCATGTTTTCTGCAGACCACACAGGATGCAATTCAAGACATAATGTACTCCATAAGTGATGAAACAAAAGCATCAGAGCAAAGCAGATGATCTATTTACTAAGAGACCATGCTGAGGTATAGCTGAAGTTGAAATAGAAGCGTAACTACTCCTAGATAGACGTGGTCCACTGCTTCAAGCATCATCTATTTATTTAGATAAATTTAGGCAGATTTTCTTCTTCCTCTTGTGGAAAAATTTGTTTTGGTTCTCTCCCTTAGAAGGAAGATGAATCACTGAGAAATATTCGCTGCCCTTGAGAAAAAGCAGCTGTAATGATAAGCTCACCAGAGGACCCACAGTTCAAACCCAGGCGGTTTCACTTTCACGACCAGCCGTTACTCGAAGGATTAGAGCTCTCGTGACATTACAGACTCCACACGTCTCTCTGCATTGAATTGTCCTTGAACAAGTTCCCAGACACGAATGCCGGTATTAATTTAGGCATGGTCCGACATTCAGACCTTTTCTTCCACCTGTCTTTTCCTTTCAGGTTATAAAAGACTCGCCCTCCCGTGCACATATGGAAGCCAAGGACCGTGCTCTTCAGTGTCTCACGCTCTGATGCACTTCCAGGCTTGCAACAACCACATCCCCCAAGCAGTTGTGCTTTTTGTGGGATGATTATGGATTATTCCCCAATCCACAGGATACTACAGCTGGCATTAAAGGGATGAACATTCTTAGAAAGATTTTATCACCGTTGGATCCCCATGGTGAGTTTGCCCGAGTACAAGAGGGCTTTTATTATCACAATGTATGAAAGACGGATGTGTTTTGGTCTCACACCTAGTGAGCTGTGAGTGGCACAAATCCCTCGCTATTACTGGCAGTCCTAGGAAAAGTAAATTCTGACCATCTGAGGAACTGAAAATCCCTTCCTACCCTCCTTCTAGAAGAGGACTCAGGTACGAGGTGAGGCAACGGCACGTCCTGCTTTTGCTCCACAGCTTCTGCCGACAGAGTCCTGCTGGCATTTCCACCATTTCCACAATTAAGGTCCTTTCTAAAATGCTATGCAAATGAAAGGATAAGAATCACAGTCAGACACAGGAAATTTCAAAGGACTTCACTAAATTCAGCTAAAGAAGGTCGTGTTTCTTTACCAAGTCATCCTATTATCTCGCTTAAAAACCAAGCATTTTGAAACAGAGAAGTAACTGCTCTGTTTACTGTAAAAAAGCCTTTTGCTTCATTAAAGGAAAGCTCGCTTGTTAAGACAAGTGACACAATTATGTAATTTTAAAAATCTGAATATATTTTAAACATATATTGGAACCAGGTCTGGAGAATACAACATTCCAGGTTGATTAATTTTTATTTTTATTTTCCACTGGTTGATTATCTTTTTTTGAAGAGGCCTGGAGAAAACCTAAGCAACTTACCTTGAATGCTCCGCACTGTCACGCTGTCCATCTGACTACATCTTGCATTAACTGCGCAGAGGTAACGGGTGTCACCACAGGGCAACGCAGCTGTAGCTTGTGACTGGCTGTCAGCACATTGCGCTGTGGGATTTGGCATACACGGGGCTGTGTAATAAATAACTGATTTCAATTTTATTTTGTTTGTGATGCACCTTTCCTCCATTCTCTGTGCTGTGACAAGGTATGGAGCAGACACAGCCATGAAGCCTTCTCAGGGAGCTTCAGGACACAGGGAAAGGCACACACATCTGTAAAAACTTTATTTCAAAATCTTTTTATTCAACTGTTATTCAGCAATATACAATACAGTTTATAAACAAATGTCTTACCTTGTTTCCAATCTTCATTTAAAAATAAATATTATTGACAGTGAATATTAATTATGGTAAGATGTACCTTTTTAATTAAAATGTCTCCAAAAGAAATAATTTAATTAAAAAAGAAAAAGGAAATCCAAAAAACCTAAACACAATAATCTACTAAAAATATTTCCTTTCTTAGGAAGGGCTTTGACCCAACATCTTTACATATTGTCATAAAGATAACTGCTCAACAGTTCGTGCAAAATGAAGAGTCAGAGGAAAGGTTTAGAAAAGAAAAAAATATTACATTAAAATAGAGAAATCGTAAGTGCCATGCACAGAGCAGGGCTTTACACCATAGAGTCTGGAAACTAGATGCATTATTCTATGTGGTTTATTTTCTGTGGCATCCCCAAAAATACATTTTTCCCCCCACGTAGAACTTATCATGCTTCTTTCAGTCTCTTTCTGTCCATCTTTAAAACTGTAGGTATTTTTTTGTCAGGGGTTTGTTCTGTTTTTAAATAGGTTCCTTTTTGTTTGGCTGAGAAGGAGTGGAGGAAGTAGTCCGTCAGTGGTTTACTAATAAATGTACAAGCTTATGCAGTATTAACAGGAACATATATAGGAGTGGGTCGGTAGCATAAATAGGTCCTGTACCTAGAAGAGAGAGACAAGGGAGAGAAGGAGATTTTATTCTTTATCTTTTCCAATATAGAAGATTAAATGCAGAAGAGAAATATAGGAAGATTTATTTTTATCACTTCAGAGCCAGAGGTCAGAAGCTTAATTTTAATAGTAAAACAGCATCCTCAAGCTATCCAACTCAAATAGCTTTCTCTTCCCCCTCCCAAATCTAACTCCACTTAGGTCATTTCATTATGCATTACTAATGGTATGCCTAAACTTGGCTTCAGCCAAGTTACCAGCAATTGAGATTTCTATAAATACACCTTAATCTGGTATATAGTTTCTTGAGAAATGACAGGTATCAACCACCCATTACTTTAAAGGGAAATGACAAATGCTGCAGCTGTACTCCTTGATTAACAGGACATGAACCCATTTCATTTGGAATAGGAACAGCAAGACCTTGACATCTTCTTTACCTTTTATAGGAAAGAGCAGAATTCTAAATTAAAAATGTGCACAGGAGCTATAGAAAAACAGAGGTCAGATGTGGAACACATCTGTTACAGTCACTTCTTCCAGACCCAGGGAGGCCAAGATCGCTCCCGCTTCTATGAGGTAAGCTTATGCGGCGAGACACAGGGCTGCAGGGGTAGTTATGTACGTGCCATCGCAGGAAAGCAGCTGCCTGCGACCTTACGGCTGCAGAGGGAGGATGCAGCTCTCCCCTGGCAGGGGCAGACACCGATGCCGTTGCTCACAGTGAGAAGTGGCGGCCATGTCCATACTGCAGCTAACAAGGCTGTCCCTGCCTTGTATCCATTTACTCTAAGATACTTGCTCTTTTTTTTTTTTTTATTTTCTAGTTAGCTGCGCCAAAAAGAGAGGAATTTACTGTGTGCCACTGTGGTCCGGCCCCTCTCCCTTGTGTGGGAGGGCCGAGCCGTGGGGCCGAGGTCTGTTGACCACGCTCCTCCAGGAGAGCAGGACACGCAGGCACGGCATGGGGCGCTGGGGCTGCCCCCATCTCTGAAACAGGTCACTGCTCTGCTGCCGGGCAAGGGCCAGAATAGCCCCTTCCTATGGAGAAGTTCTGCTGTCATGGGGCAGCCTATGGTAGTGCTGCAGGAGAAGAGATCGCTGCCTTTCACTGCCCGAGCCCCCACTGAGCCCACGCAAACGAGGCTGGACTGGTCAGCAGCAGCAGCTCTTTGGGTCCCAAGTGCCAATGGGTGACGCCTTTCCAAAGCCATGACGTACACGAGTGTGTGCAGTTGTCACCAACACCGTCACCTGACAATACAGGGCTGCACACCCGCGACTGCTGTCTCACATGGCCGCGGGGCATTTCCACAGGGGTGAATGCAAAAGCCAAGCTTTGCCCTGCAGCTGGAGTGCAGAGGCACCCAGGGAGAGGCTTTACCAGTGCTGGACACCCTACATACAGGAGCAATCAGTGCCCAAAGTACGGACAGCCACCCAGAAAAGTGACTGTCAGAGCCACTTTGCAAAGCGTGAAAGCTTTAGAAAAAAGTTTTTTGTGTTCAGTATCTCTGAAAAAAGGAATCAGGCCACTTCTATTTAGGAAACTCACTTCAGGCACCCTAATGGGAATACTTTAGTCTTCGTCTCTAGGAGATGCGAGTCTCTCAGCTGTGGCATGATCAAAGGAAATACCTTGAACAGTCCCTGAGTAAAGCGCTGCTCCTGGGCTTGCTGTTCAGGCTGCCTCGTAATCTATATATACCTCACCAGCAAAGCTAGAGTATTATCATCCAATATCAAAAAATAGTTCATAGTAATGTGGTGTGCAATTGAGGAACTCAAGATATGTCCCCATAGTGCTATCTCATAGATGCCTAGACTGTATGGAGATTATTTAGTTATTAAGGTTTTAATTAAATCCTTGCATGCACAAACACATGCCTGAAGACTGCCTAAGTAGCAACAGCAAGGCATTAAGATGAATATAGGATTCTTCTGTTTAAAGCTGAAAATCATTGACAAACACAAGTAACTCAGGCAACTAAAGGAGTAACTCGTTAAATTCTTGCAAAAAGACGCTAGAAGTGTGTGCAGGGAAGTACACAACAGCTGCTAAAGCTCAGGGTCCTGGCCAGCACATGGGACAGACAACCAGCAGCCCAAACGTTCTTGCTGCTCTGGGGGAGCAAGGCAGGAGCTCACAAGCTCGGACTTGCCTTCCCTGCCCCAGGAACCAGCCCTGCAGAGCCGAGGTGCAAGGAGGGTCTGCCCTGGAGACCTGCAGGCAGGATATGCAATCCCCTTCCTGCGCCGAGAGGGCGAGGGCAGTGGGAGCCCTGCCTGTGCTGATGCCAATGCTGCCGGCCTTCCCAGCCTCTCTGGCAGCCTGGGAACAAATAGGGCTGGGACAGCCATTCCCCAGCCTCAGGGACCTCCCTCCTCCAGCAGGTCCCACTCTTCCCTTAAAAATATACAGTCAATTCACAAATATATTATACCCTACAGTTTTCACAAGGAGGAACCCTAACAACAAATCTACCTACACCAGCAAGAGAAAACAGGTTGCTGACTGGGAAGGCTGAAGGTAAATCCCCATTTTCTGTCCGCCTCTGAGCCTGACATGCTATGTGGCATCTGAAGACAGACTGCTTATTCACAAATTCACTGGCACAACGGACCCATACTGCCAGTCAGCACATCCCCATTTCCAAGCTGTCAGATGGCTCTTCTCACTTCTGGGACATTGCACAGCTGCAAGAACGCCAGCCGGGGAAGGTCCCCATGCGCTGTTGCTGTCCCCTGTGCCTGGGGATGGCAAGGGCAGCCAGGCAGCAGCCCACACTCCAGGCAGCTGCACGCAGCTCGCAGGTGCCAAATTTGTGCCAGTTCCACACCTGCCCACCACTGCAGTGAAGGTCTGGCCTTGGGCGTTTGTTATGCTCAAACCTGAGGGTAGTGAGAACTCGTTTTTCCCTTCCAGGGCTGAACTTGTTCTTTCAATGAACAGGACTCGAGTTTGAGGAGATGCTGCCAGTTACTCGAAAAGAAAGCTGTGCTTTTGTAAGGGGGGATCCCCCTGGAAACGCTGAGGAGCTCAACCTGGGGAAATGGGCTCTTGTAGCTCAAGTGCTCTTACAACCATCATACTGAAGGGCTGCGAAAGACGCCAGGTTAGGATTGTTCCTGTTCTGAATGGAAAGCAGTATTTGTCCCAACTCCATGCAGTAGCTGTGTGCCTGCTTACCAAAATCATTCCTATGCCACTTTTACCTTTATGTACTACTTTTAGTTTAAATCCCAATGCAGGACTGTGAATTAATGCAGCAGTCCAAATTTTTTGTCTTTTCCTCTTGTAGAAATTGTGTTGTTTTTAACCTATATTCTCCATCTTCTTAATTTGACAGCAGAACGTGAGTTCAGAGTCTGTTAACAGCAGTTAAATAAAATATATTTTAAAAAAAAAATGGAAAGCAATTCTTCTTACTGCATACCACATACAAGCTTCCTTTTTTCATACTGATTCAGTGTTATTCTGCTCCAGGACTTCAGGCAGTAGAAGCAGATACACAGACCTTCAGAATCCTCCTCCCTCTGAACATAAACAGACTGGACATATAATTTCCAGTAACTTCGCCCTGGTTAGTTAACCCGAACCTTTTTCATTATAGCTAGTATTGTCTACAAATAAGCTGGACTTAGTGTCCTCAATTCTGCTTTTACTGCAGTAGTGGAAGTCTTGACTTTTATTTAATAGATTGCTACATTTGCAGATGTAAACAAACAGAATGTGGGCTTGACCATTAGGAGCTGGACATGCAATCGACCCAGATTTGAGAACAGGGAGTTTCTATCCAGAGACTTGAAATCAAGCGTACACAGTTACTTACAAACTACAGACACTTACAAGAAAACATTTAATTTATATTTTGAATATTCATTAGATGTTTTGTTATTGTAAGCTTATTTATCAGAACATAGATTTACAATTTTGCTTTTAAATTATTTATATGCACATGGCTTAAAGGGAGAGTTTACCACTAAGCAGAACAATAACAAATTGTTCTGTTCACATATGGTGAATTGCTCTCTGGCGTCACTCATCCTTCTTTTCGATTTACAGCATAATAATGTTTTACTGTAGTTTTTGATTTAATAATTTGTGTTGTGCCAGCATTCATCAAAGTTTGACTTAAAACAGTTCATCCAATTGAAAACAATCATTAATTAACCAACTGACTTGTGACACACGGAAAAAATGGGATGATTCTTTTACAAACTATATTTAACCAATGGCCAAAACCCACAGTTTCCAGCAGTTTCCTATTTTCCCTCCTAGAAAGAATCTGAAAAGTCCCTTGATGTTTCTTTCTGAGGTGGTGGTAAAATGCAGTGGCCCATATAATAAAAAGCTGAAAGACATCAGTAGTCTATTTTCCTTTAAAGGTGAGATAACACCAAAATTTGACTGCCTGTTCACAATGGAGCTGGGACCCCCTCTTGGCAGCATCTCAGGACATTTCTCTGTAGTGGCTTTTATGCGGTGACCTGTTAGCCTCAGACTGTTTCCTTACAGAACAATGTTCAATTAAAACTCTCAAACCTGGCATTTCATTAAGAGGTGAGGGATCAAACTGACCGTATAGATTGATTTATTCTCTCCATCCAGAAACTTTAGCCTGTGCTTGAGACATATTCTTGGAGAAACTGCTCCTACTATCTTGTATCTATGGAAAAAATAGGGTTTTATATGGGTTGTTGGTCAAGGATCATTACAGGCAATAACCTCCTAGATAAAACAAATTCTCTCTCACTGACATACGTTTGGAGCCCTTCCACTGAATTGAAGGGAATTTACCAAACTTCAGATCTGAGAGCTTCTTAGAAGTTTTTAATTAAAAAGACACCATTACTAAAGTCACTATACACTTACTGAACTGAAGAGATAATAAGCTACACCACATTAGAATTACTCCACAGCCTGAGACATGATCTTATAAGCTGCATATATCCTTCTTCCAATCTTAAATACTTACAGCACAATCCACACACTGCGTTTTTGCTGTCGGGGTTTTTTTAAAGACTTGTAACTGGTGCCTTCACCTTCCTACTCCTCACCGAGCGCCAATTCTCCAGGATGGTGTGCAGAAGTGTATCCAGCGCCTGCGCCAACTTGAGCACACTCTCCCAGCTAAACCCTAGAGCACTGCATGTAATGTGAGGTGCTCTTGTTAAAAGAAGCATGTGTACTATGGAAATCTCTGCAAAGATACTAAACTAAGGGGTGCCCGTTGCTCCTGGCTTTCAGCTGGCTGTGGATCACCGTGCCTAGGCACAACCAGAAACAGCTCCTGACCTGCCTGTTGGTGTTGCTGCTTTTGGCCATGGTGACTTCCCACATTATAAGGAACTGCATGGGATCTGCTCACCACTGAACCTGCCTAGGAGGCACGATGACAAAATTAGTTTTCTACCCGCTACACATTTTTATTTATGATTCGATGAATTTTGGAACAGCTTTCCATAACTTATCTCAAAAACAATGCCTTGTAGAAGTCAGCACATGTATTTATTTCTACACAACCATGCAGGTATAAGCTAGTGATCCTGCTTTCTTCCTTCATCCATACCATCAAGATTTTTAAGGTCAAAAGTAAATCTTCTCACACGGCTGGGTGAAACTATCAATCAGCATTGCCCTCCACACGCTTCTTCTTGAAAATGCCCACATTTCACTTTCCTTATCCACACCATAGCCTCAAACTCTCCAGGAAAATGAAGCCAGTTTTACTGGCCAGGGTTTTGTAAAACTGTGTCATCATTTTAGGTCTTCTCAATTACACCTGAGGTTCGCTGTTTGTCTACCTTCTCTCTTAAGATATCCACTGCTATGTTCAGGCCTATATTTAAAAGTGAATTGCCAATACCATATAACAAGGGTAACTGAAAGCCAATCCTATCCTAATTTTGGACTCTCAACAGGTTTTAGTATTTCAAATAAGATTCCATTTGCATTTGGAGTATTTAGCACTCCTGAAATGACCATGTTTGGCTTGCCCATACCTGTATCTATTTACATGCTGGGCTGACCTCATGTGACTGAACACAGAGGTGAGGTAGAATAACTTGGTAATAGGCTAATAAATAATAATAGAATAGGCTTGGTAACTCTACAGAGGCTGCATACAGGGCAGCACAATGCAAATTTCCAGCATAGCTCGAAAAATAATTATGTGTATTTGAGAAAAATCCAATTCTTTGTAGCAGCCTGGTTCTTAATTTTGATTGTTCTTGATGTGACACATCTGAAAGAGCCCAGCTAGGACAAAAGACTTTGGTGCTCTAGTGGTAAACCACAGCACAGGTAGCAGGAAGGCATCGGAATTGCAGCACATTGAGAGGCGTGACAGCACTGTGAAGGAGACCGGCAGAACCTTGTTTGCTTGAGAAGCAGCATCTTCTAGCTCCCTGAGCATTTCAGCCAACATGCTTAACCCCCCAGTTTAAGAAAACCGCAACATGGCTAACCACCCTTGAATACCATGAAGCCCCTGTTTCAGCATATTCTATGAAAAATGGGTCATGTACATCATATAGTCATGGACAGATTAGAAAACAAAGAAACTGGATGGCAAGGAGGGGGAGGTGTAGTCATGCAAGGAAATGATGCAGAAAGAAAAGTTGGGTTCTGAAACGAACCTAAGAAAAGAAAAAGATGCTTTCTGCGGTGTCGATTTTCTGAAGTGCTGCAGTGCTTTGCTGGAGGCCAATCTGTGTGAGTGCCGGGGGGACAGGACAGATGCAGGAATTGGTAGAGGAGGTGGGTATATGTTTCTTAAGGCACTTGCAATTATGGAGGTGGATTTCTGATCACATTAGAGCTCACTTCAACTGAGACTCATTAAGGCCAAATTGTTCTCAAAATATTAGGACTGACAATCCCTTCCAAACATGCATATGGTACACAGATCAGTCAAGTGCTCAATTATCCTCTGTGGAGGCTCTTCCCCTTTTCTCCTAGATCGTACGGACATTATTAGACATAAGCTACAGGATTAGATGGACAACTGATCTGATCCAGTTCGACAGTTGCTGCAGGTCTGCGTGGCAAGACATTTTTGTATTAAACACAGCTACTAACAAACAGAAAGAGGGGTAGTTAAACTAGTGGATTTGATGAATGTATGGCAGTGTGTATTGGGTAGAGAGCAAGAAATACTTCTACCTTTTTCAAAAGTATTTCTACTTTTTAGGTTACCAGAAAAATATGCAGTGTCATTGTCAATAGGCTGGTAAAAGCTCATCTCCCACTAAAGTTACAAGAAGTAGGGACACACAGTACAGGGAACAGTTGGTACGTTTTCCCTCAATACCCCCACTTCCCTTCTGCAGCAGCCAAAGATGTACAGAGCAGGCAGCAGTCTCACTGAAAGCCTCACTCCGCTTCTTCCAAATGCTACGTTTGACTCTGAGAACGGCTGTATTGAGAGAAGGTGGTGGCCCCCAAAAGCCCCACAGAGCAGCAGCTGAGCCGATTCAGATGGAGCTGGGCCCTTGAGGGGCTGCTTTTGGGATCTGTCCTACGCTGCAGACAGCCAAATGAACTGCCCAACCACTCCAAATATCCACTCTTGGAGAAATTAAGGAAAAACTTCAAGACAACACCAGCACATGCTTCAAGAAAACACCAAAACTAATTTATAACAAGCTCTGAAAGGAAACACTGCTATAGACAGTGTCAACGTAGAATAGAAACGTATCCTGAATACCTAAAAAGAGTCATTCATTCTATATAGATTATACAGCTTACATATATTTCATATTGGTCTGTATTTAAATAAGCCAGTAACTTTCCTCTTTTGAGACCTGCAGCTGGTCTCTACTTTGTAGTATGTTGCCATAAGCAGATTTCTGCTTTGGCATCTGTGAGATGATCTCTCCTCACCAAATATCTTATTAGAGAGACCCAAAACATGCAACTATGGGTTTGTTTCATTTCCAGTGTTTTCTGCATTTCTAAACTATCTAAACGATCTAAAACTAACTTAAAAAAACCAAGCACCATTAATTCACTCCCTGACACTTGAATAATGAGAAATACAAAATTCTTTGTGATGTGATGTGGTAGAAAATGAATTTTGAACACACAGAAAAATAACTAACTACATTAGTGGTAGTAAGCATCCAGCCCTACACGTCCTTCTTCAGTACTACTATGTGAGCACGTCCACAGCATATTGATACACACAAATAGCAAAAAGCACAACTCAAACTACCCAAATCACGCGGCAATGAAGAATACTGGTACCACGGTTTCAGTTACTGATCTTTGAAGTGACTCTGGGCCATATTCTCAAGTTTTTCATTATAAGCAGGAGGACTAAAAAGCCACGTTGCAAAAAGCAAGCAAGCTAGATATGGTCACACAATTCCATAAGTCGATGCTTTAGGAAAAGACTTGCAATAAAAGTCACACACAAAAGAACCACAGATTTCACATTCTGTAATTGATAGAAGCTGTAAGTATTTGCAACCCAGAAGTAAAGAACAAGGCACTGTAGTTTCAAGTTCGCTGTCTTTTAGAGTATTTTTGA